TTTTTTTTCTAAGAACTTGCCGTAGGTATGAAATATACTTACCTCTTCTTATTACATGAACCAAATATCGCAATTAATTTATATTAATTTCATTTTTACCTTCTTCATTTTCTTTTTCCGTTTTGCTCAACAACTTCACATTTATTACTTTGTTCGCCCAAATTATTTTTAATAATTCTGTAAAATCCCACTTAAACTGCTTCTGGTCAACCGCTAACTTCCTTATTTAAGGTCCAAGACTATATTCCACAAAGCAGCATGGAAAACACATACGAGTATAATATTTTTGGCACTTTTCTCATAATATTAAATGTTGTTTAACGTGTCCAATGTATATCCTTACTTTTTCGGTATATGCGTTATTTTCATAAAACAATTAAAGTAAGGTGTTTGTAGTTGTTAATTTTTTCTAATGGTTCTCCTCGTATTGTTTTTATATTTTGTTTTTGTACTTGTAATAAATTTTGCTTCTTTAAAGTTGTGTTAGTCCACTTTCCTCGCAGTATCTTCTATCCGACTCAAGAGTGTTTTTAAGTCTTCTATAATATTATCTGCAATTAAAATAGTGTCATATATCTAATATTTTTAATAGGTTTACCAATAATCTTTATTTCGATCGTTACTTTTTGAAGTGATTGTTTAATTATTAATTCCGAGTGCAATAATGGGGACAGTAACCAAGCTTGTCTTACTCCTCTGCGTATCTCTGCTTTCCACAGAAAATTCTTTTTAAAATTTAATATTGGTAGTTTAATTAAAATAAAAATAAGTTGTTATTTTTTATTTTTAATCCACCACACAAACAGTGTGGTGGATTAAAATGTATACATATTTGAATTAGTTACATTAAATACTGTCGCTCGTACAATCAAATAGATGTGTAACTTAAAGACCAGTTATCCTGTGGTCATTATATTCATTTACCATATATTTTTGGGCAATGTAATAAACGTTGACTTAATCATATCCATATAAATAGTTGTAATGCGTATGGCAATACATAATTCTTCCAGATACTAAGTAAAGTCAAACACAAAGATCCACAATGTAGGCTCAGAAAACATACCAGATATCACCAACAGATGAAATAGAACGAGCTGGAGATGAAAAAGAATAAATTACCTGTAGGAGACAGGATAATCATAGAATAGATCAAAGAAGGAGGAGCAATGTTAATGAATGTGTTGAGAAAGATATTTAAGTTTGTTTGACAGGAGGCGTAACTCCCTTCCAACGGCATAATGCAATAATAACTATGATGCACAAAAAGGTGACGTTTCTGTTTTTTTTAATTCCGTATAATGTAAAAGTTTTTATAAATTTTTGCATACCTATAGCTCATTAGTCAGACAATCAATCTAATAGTATTCTCTTTTTTCCTAATGATTGAATGATTCGTTTTATATTTTTGATAAAGGAACCATGTTAGTAAAGGCCTAATTATGTAAAGTAAGAGCAAAATGAGTAACTTGTAGCACTTAAGTACGTACATATAAAAATTCCGTTTTATAAGAACTTACGTATAATAAAAATCATTTAATGTAAGAAATTGAAATGTTCGCATAACCTAAATTTTCTTCGAGATTTCTCTTAACTAATGAATTCATTGCATAAACACAATTTAAGTACAGAGAGTTTCTTGAATACGTCTTGATAGTATGTTATAATTTAAGACATGATATCTAAAACATAAAGAATTTTGTAGTCAAACCTGTTGTTTTCTCTGGATTCCAAGATATTTTGTGATAACAGACCACACAAATACATAATTTTTCGTTGTGGTACAAATAGGAGAAAGCAGGAAAATTATTCACATTAAATTTAAAATTCAGAAAGGATCTTATAGTATACAAAATCTTATATTTTTTATATTATAGAAGTACCAAAACAGCTCTTAAATAATCATACTGTATACGGGTTTAAAAGATGTGAAATAATTTACTTGTAAATATAGAGCATTTAAAGACTGTATAAATTTTCTAAATAACTGACTGGAACGAAGAAGATCAATTTATTGACGGTGGACTAAACCCGCAGAAAAAAATTTAAGTATGCCGCCCCTTTTTCGATTAAAAACTTCGATTAAATTTTGTTATTCTTCTGTAGAATGACAAAAACAAACCTTTAGATGAAGTTGCTTTTTGTAAGAGAATCAATTAACATTCCTCCAGCTGAGCCTGCCACAGTATAAGTATCTTTATTATTGGTTATACCTTCAGTTTGCTTTTTGTTGTCAATCTATCATCCTTATCTAATTTGACTCTTAGTTATCTCCAATGGTGGCACATTGGTAAAAAGGCTGGTGATGTCGAAACTGACTAGCATATTGTTAGAATTGTATTTTATTTCTGCTAGTTTTCATAAGAACTGTTGTAAGTTTTTTGTAAATGTTGTGTTGAGTGCTAAAGGCTGTATTGTGTCTACGAGCAACTTTGAGAGTTCGCTGCAACGAGATCACATACTCTGCAAATTGATCTGAGGGGTACATCTTCTTTGTGTATTTTTGGGACTCTGGACTCTATATAGATGTGGAGTCTTGCTGTTGTGTAAGGGTGTTAATGTTCTTCTTTAGTAGTGTCTCAGGTATTTCTTTTTGTGTAAAGTTTTATATATTCTGTTTTCTAGTGATTTGGTTAGATCCTTTGTTAGTTTTGTGTAATGTCCATTTGTGGGAAATTCTTTTGATTTTCTTCTAATATTGACTTTTGTCCATAATTACAGTTGCGTTGCCATTATGATCTGGTAGTAATATTACAAACTTATCTTCTTTTAGAGCTTTGATATAATTGAGTTCTTCTTTACTAACGATTTGCTTTTGACTTTTTTTCCAGTTCCCTTTTGCACAGTACTCTCTATTCTAATTATGTCTAGTTTAGCAATTAATGGTCATGGTACAGCATCATTTATTACATCATTTTTTTTTTCTGTTACGTTCAACTGCCTTTTGTTGCTGCCCTTTGCAGCTGCTACATTTTTGGTTATTGTATTTGGTGACGCTGATATTTTCTAAAAGGTTGTTTTTGTTTATGTGTGTAGTTTTTGTCTATTGTATGTATTCTATATGTATGGAAATGTGTTAGTCTATTGATATTTAAGGGTACAAAATACCACCCTCAGAATTTTCAACTAGAATCATGACAAGTTAAAAACGATTTGATAGTTTTGAACATTCTGCTTCTTTTTGACAACGATTTTCGTGTGGAAATTGAACTATCAAATAATAATTATAAAACGTAATCTTCATTAAAATCAATTGTGGGTTAATCCGACTTAAACATAATATTTAACTAAGACTTGCCGCTAGAAAACTGTTTCAGAACGTTTTTATTATTTTGTGTTATTCTACTAAATTAAATGTCTCGTAAAAGTGAATGTTTAGAAAAATAAAATCCTATAAATACCCGCAATATTGCGATATGTATGATAAATAAAATATAAGATAACGTCAATCGCCCCCAATTTATCTCAAAGAAATCCTCATCTTACAAACACAAACACGAACGCGATAGTACATAAAAACAGTTTGCGCTAGTTTACAACTTTCTTTTATCTATACAAACCAGTAAAAACGATATTATTATAACGCAAAAGACATTTTTTTGATCTGTTTTTAAACGGATCGTTGAAAACTAATTTTAATTGCTCATTTATCATAAATAAAATGTTTATTAATAATTACAAAAATAGATTTCTCTTGCAACTATCGCCTATTTTAATGATAGCATAGTCATGATATATGTTGAAAATTAAATTGTACTTGCTTATTATAGAATATAAAAATAATGTAATAGCGAATTTATAGGATAATACAAAATTGTGATGTAACTTTCACAAGAGAATGTAGTAATGCAGTTTAGCTTCCTTAATATATAATGATGGATATTTTCATTAAAGTACCGATATTTTGAACGACAATGCATTTTTATGAGAGCAATTTCATCAAACCAATCATCATTCTCTTTGCCTTGATACAAATACCACTTTTAATGTTATCACAACAATATTTAAACCAACCAACACACTAAGGACTATCGTGTCCAAATCCAAACTCAGTAACACGCAAGAAAGATAAAAAACTAGACATATAAAATGTCCTGTGAATGAAACAATGTCTACGTGAGAGAAACCGCAAGACTACTAAGTATTAGGATAACCAAGTATAAAATATACATCAAGAACAGAGACTTCGAGAAATTCTAGATATGCAAACATGCCTGGGACAACGAGTACCTACAGACCACGATAGAAAGGTGCATCAATAATCATGAAAGAAACAGGCATCAAAAGAGGAAAGTCACAGAAGCAGCTCTCATCTACTTAACAAAGAAAAATGAGTAGGAAACCTCTCAGCAAAATGTAGCAGGCTTTGGTTGTCAATACTAAAAGAACAACAAGAATATACCAACAACAGCGAAGTCGTAGAGGGTCGAAATATCATCACTAGAGTTTTATACACAATACATTATGTAGCACACAATACACAAATCTACGTCGCCTACCTTACGTTGCAACATTAAACAGTCAGAACTTTTATATTCCAAGAGTTAAAACACTATCCTTAGATTTTTCAGCTGTTTATATGCTGTTGCCTATAAAATAGAAACCAAGTATGTCAATTTAGTGGACATACCCTAATAGCAAACAACTTGGTTATTCATTTTCGCAAAAAAAATTTAATATAATCTGTTTTGAGAACGATTTCCGAAATGTAATTTTTATTACAACCAATAATTATGACTTAATCCCACATAAACATAATATTTAAATCAGACATGCCTAAGAAAATAGTTTCGGAACCTTGTTTCTCTTTCTCCTTCCAGAAAGTTGCAACTTATCAATTTTAAATTTGGGTGCTTAGCATATCGACGTTAAATGTGCTTTAACCATCTTAAACTATACTCTCCCATTTTAGCGTCAATTGGTGCGAGACCTAAACTTCCCCAATATATTTATTTTTAATATTAACCTTTTTATCACTACACTCATACATCTAAGCATTCTCATTTAAGCCACATGAATTTGATATTCCTTTTCTTTCTAACTGCCAGATATTCAGTTTTGTACTTTATAGCCGGCCTTGTGGCAATTTTATAGAATTTTCCTTTCATTTTCATTGGAATATTTTCGTTACTTAACACACGACTCGTTTCCTTGCAGTTTATCCATCCCTCAGTAACTTTACTGCATGCATCTTCATCTGCATCTTCATCTGAATGAAGAAATACTTCATCTATTTCCTCATTAGTGTATAATAGCAATCCTTGGTACATAAAATTATTACCTTTTACAATCGTTTCTCCATCCAAATTATCTTATTTGCAGTAGTAACTTCATCTGTTAATGAACATTTTGAATAATGTTTATTCACTATAGTGACTAAAGACAACTATTACGTTTTTGGCGAACAATACCATTGGGTATAACTGAAAATGTGCTTTTTTACATTATTTTATTCACCCATGCGAATAAAAAGTTATGCCACTAAAGAAAAAAATTATTCATTTATTATTATTGAAAATGTAGCTAAAGAATTTGGTAATATTTATAGCGTATAGTCTTGGTACTTCATAGCTCTTTTATCAGTGAGAAGGGGCGGAAACAGAAGAAGACTTTTTTAAGACAGCGTTTTGGGAAAATTGTGTGTCTAAACCAATAAAATACGACCAGGAAGTTCAACAGCGAGGTAAAGAGATTTGTTGTAAAGAGAATTATGGTTAAAGATTGATTACTACCCTTCATAAGTTGGTGTGCGATATCTGAATCTATGAACAAATTCCCGAGTAATGGAGAATGTGTCTTATTTTTAACAAAAAAGAAATGTAATAAATTACCATGCAAGAACTACACTGGAATAACACTACTCAATATGACATATAAAGTCTTCTCTAGTCTACCACGATATAATGAAAGAGATTTACAAAAGTATCAGTGTGGCTATCATAGTGCTAGAGCTACTGTAAATCAGATCTTTCTTGTGGGCCAAACAATGGAAACATGTTTTAAATATGATATAGACATACGCATGTTGTTTGTAGATTTCCATCAAGTGACGGTTCCTTTGGAAGGCTCTCAGTGGAAGCCATAAAAAGGATAGAAGTCGAGTAGACCTTTTTGATAAATAAGATAAATCATCATATTTATGAAATTGCTTAGTTCATATATTGCATACATGCTGGCTTTTTTCCAGTCACTAGCGTTTCCCCTTTTATGGTCACTATTTTTATGGTTATCATGTAACGTATACTGTTCGTGTGAATTAAAAATGGATGTTTATTTTTCTCTGTCTTAATTTTCTCGTATAGATTATGTTACATGCTCTTGTATTTAATTTTGTTCGGCATATTCGACATAATTTTAAGTAAGATGTTCCTTTAATTAATCCATCAATAATATATTTATTAATATTGTTGTGCTTTGAAGTTCTCGTGATTTAAAATAAAATTTCTTTAGTTACTTTTACTTACTTTTGGGTTTTTCTAAAACCATTTTTGCGAAATGCGAAGTTATGAGCTTTTCCATTTTTTATAGAATATAATGATCCTACATTTGCTGTATGGTGAACGATCTATATATTTTTTAATGTACTAAATATTGTGTTTATATAGGATTAAGCCAATTCATTATGAGAAGAATTACATTTTTACTAAAAAAATTGATGTTTTGATTTCCACTCCTGAAATTGTTCTCAAAAAAGATTGTTTAAAGAGTTTTGTTAAAAATATTGTTAGACATGACACAAAACAACAGTTTCAGAACCTTAATAATAAATATATCGGCTTAATATAATTCCACTTTGGACGCAGACCCAAGCTTTTTAGTTTTTATTTGTTATGTGTTTTTTTTTTATTGCTTTTGTAAGTTTAATAGTTAGGCTCCATTAATTTAGAATTACAATATGACAGATAGTGATGATTATTATCGGATGATCGTAAAATAAGAAAAAAGTGCAAACGGATGAAATATTTGGTAAGTAAAAAAATATTTTAAACACCACACAAGTCGAAACACAGTCAGCCAGCATGCACAAACTACTAGATAATAATTACACAAAAATTAATTAATTGGACGGTATAAAGTACATATTGTACAAGACAATACAGCAATTCAAAGAGAAAATAGTATAGTATAGTATAGTATAGTATAGTATAGTATATTATAGTATAGTATAGTATAGTATAGTATAGTATAGTATAGTATAGTATAGTATAGTATAGTATAGTATAGTATAGTATAGTATAGTATAGTATAGTATAGTATAGTATAGTATAGTATAGTATAGTATAGTATAGTATAGTATAGTATAGTATAGTATAGTATAGTATAGTATAGTATAGTATAGTATAGTATAGTATAGTATAGTATAGTATAGTATAGTATAGTATAGTATAGTATAGTATAGTATAGTATAGTATAGTATAGTATAGTATAGTATAGTATATTAATGGCCGAAATATTATTAAAATCAGTGTTTTTTAGGATTGAAATGAACATATAGAAGCGGGCTTTGGGTAGGAACTCCTTTGGGCAGTCCTACCAGGGAAAGTGAATCAATCCCTGTCGCAGAATCCAGGAGTTTCCTGACTCGGGAAACTAGTACCTGCTTAGGGTCCCTTGTCCAGGGTCACGGATGAAGACCACAACGGTATCCACGGCGGAGAAGAACATCTTCGGTACGGTGTGTATGGCGGAAGTGGCGACCCGCGATTTTAGGGTTCGAATAAAATTAAAAGGATAGACGAAACCCGTTAGCGGTAGATCCCACATTCCGTCTAGCAGATAGAGACTCTGAATCTAAGCCTCTGGCCCTCCAGGTTGAGGTTTAAGGCATTGGGCTAACTCCCCAGTAATTATTGTAAAAAACATAAAAATGTTTAAAAAAATTTAATCACATGGCTCGGAATAGGACTGCATAACAAAGACAACATAAGTTTCGAAAAAGGATACGATTTTTTGGTACATGGAATGTTCAAGGTATATCAAAAAAACTCAATGAAGTCTTACATGAATAAACAGAACTAAAAATATCTTTAGATATTTATTAGATAAATATCTTTAAAATATCTTTTCAGAATTACCGAAACAAAAAAGAAGGGAACCGGCTCTGAAAATCTAGGAAAATCTGATCATTTTTATAGTGGAATACCAAAAGAATTTAGAGCTCAACAGGGAATCTCTTTAGTGATTCACAGAAGACTAAGAAAATTACTATTTAAATGGGAAATAAGCCAATATTAAAGGTTAAAGTAATTTTATTGACGTTTCAATTTCCACTTCGGAAATCGTTACAAAATACAAACATAGTAAATTAAATAAATTTTGCTTTTTGGTTTAACAATTAACAACAAGATTTATAACATCAAAGGGATTAAAGCTAGGATGTTGCCTGTCCTCCACTTTATTTAAAATATACCTTGAAAGTGCTTTAAAAAGATGGAAACAAAAATGCAGGACAATGGGGATACCGCTCACCAACACTATGGTATACGCTCAACATTGCAGACTATCAAGTAATAATGGCTCAAGATTATGACGATTTAAACTATATGGCACGAAAGTTAATTAAAGAGTGTGATATATGGGGTCTAGAAGTAAATAAAAAGAAAATTGAATACCTGTGCATTGAAGTAGAACAAAAAGATCTCATATTAGACGATAACACCACAATAAAGCACAGATGTGACTACAAATATCTAGGTATACGTAGGTCTAGAAATACATCAGGGAGAAAAGCCATCACAATGTTAAACAGCGTTTTATGGGACCAATCTATTATCAAAGAAGATAAAAAGAGGATATATTCACTTTATACAGCTGTGAGGTATGGCCACTGAAAGAAAGAACACTGGCAACGCTAAAAGCGACGAAAATCGATTTTTGAAGAAGAACCGCAGAAAGGAGCATTTTTAAGAGCTTTTAAACTCAGAAAAAGAACAAAACGAAGACGAAGAAATAATTCAGCACACAGCAGAACAACTAATTGAGCAACTAACATTGGAAGAAACGATAAACGTCATAAAACATCCAAAAAATAACAAAACACCTGGCACAGATGAAATAACTGCAGAATTGATAAAGAATGGTAAGTAGGAATCATACTTCTTATGTACAAAGGGGGAGACAAACAACTCTACAAAATATAGGGGCATAACAGTTTTAAATGTCGTCTACAAGATATTATCAGGAATTATATACAGCCGCCTGTATCGTTTTCGAAGGAGATGGTTGGTGAATATCAATGTGACTTAAGACCAAAGAGGTCAACTATAGACCAAATACATAAGTTAAGAGTTATACATGAAAAATGTGTTGAATATAACCTACCTATTTACAACTTGTATATCGATTCTAAACAGGCATTTGATGAAGTAGATCGACAAAAGATGTTAAAGCAACTATATATGTTAGGAATATTCAATAAGTTGGTTAAACTTATACGAATGACTCTGAGGGGTTCCAAAGCTATAGTGAGAATAGATGGAGATATAACGAGGGCCTTTGATATTGAAAATGGAGTTAGACAAGGTGATGCCTCATCAACAAAGCTGGTGTTAGAAAACTGGATATAAACGAATGTATTAGTACAAGATCAATGCAAATATACGCATATGTGGATGATGTTGCCATAATAAGCCGCAAGAAAAGGGTATTACGCGAAAAAATTATAGAACTGAAACAGAAAGCTGCTACGTTTGGTCTATGTATACAAGAAAGCAAAACAAAATATATGGAGTGCACAAAAATGAATCAACATGAGAATCTGAAAGTAGACAACCATACCTACAAATATGCCTCCACTTTTCCCTACCTAGGCTCAATATTAATTGACAACAATATCAGTCAAGAAAAACAAGCACTGATTCTTAGCAGTAATAAGTGCTTTATGCATACAAAGACTTAATGAAAAATAAGTTACTGAATCGTGAGTCTAAGCTTAAAATTTACAAAATAGTAATTAGACCAGTGGTCACATATGGATGTGAAACGTGGACCATCTTAACCACTGATGAAAATCAACTAAGAATATTTAAGCGCAAAATACTAAGGAAGATATTTGGGCCAAACAAATGCAGGGATGTTTCGTGGAGAATTAAAATGAACCACGAGCTGGATGAACTAATGCAGAGCGCAGATATTGTTAGATTTGTAAATTCACAAAGACTAAACTGGCTTGGTCACCTAGAAAGAATGCCAGATAATCGAGCTGTAAAAGTAGTCCAGAGATGGAAGCAACAAGAAAACACAACAAGAGGAAGGCCCCGTAAAAGATGGATAGACGACGTAGAGAGGGATCTTAAAACCATGAACATCAGGCAGTGGCGAAGGTAAGTATCCTACAGGGCAAAATAAAAGAACATTGTTAAGCAGGCCAAGACTTACAAAGGATTGTAGCGCCATTAGAAGAAGAAGTAGAAGCCGCAGGAAGATCTAGAAGAGAAAGGATTACCAACGAACGCATTAGAGAAATAATGGGAATCAAATGAATAATTACAGATGACCTAACAACAAAACAACTTATCTGGTTCGGACACATACAAAGAATGCATGAACAACGAATACCAAAAGAAATATTAAAATGACAACCAGAAGGAAAGACAATAACGAAGTAGACCGGGAACAAGTTGGAGCGAAAGAATAAATAATGAACTGAGATAGAGGGCCATAGAAGAATACCTATGGAACAAACGCACTAAGTGGCGATTGGAAGATGGAAAACGGCGGAGAACGTTATAAATCGACAATTAGTAGTAGTATAAACATATAGAAAAACTGGTTTTACCGCAAAATCTTAGATATTTTAATAAAAAAAAAAACATCTAGAAGAAGTACCTAAATACTAACTTCAGGAGTCATCAAAGCAATCCAAATTAGTAAAACAGGAAAAACCAGTGGTCCATATAAAGTACATAAACAGACATTCAAATTCGAAAACAAACGCAACATTCCTATGTTAACCAGGCTGCTCAATGAAATTTATACATGTGTTAGTTTTTATTCCTATCTCAAAAAAACAACAACGGTAATAACATTTCAGTTTAATTAGCTCAATGAGCTAAAATTTCCGAGTACTATTTTTAGAGTAAATAAAAAAAGTATTAAAAACAGACTTTTAATACTTATTTATGTAGCTATGACGAAAGTAGGGCCGTATCCTAATTTCTGTAAACAACAGTACCCTTGATATTTCTACCTTAATTGCAATTAAACGTTATACATTTAAAGTTTACTTTATCTAAGTATCAATAATGGGATTCAATTTTGAACAATTTAAAATGAATAAATTTGAAAAAATATATGGTTGCAATGAAAAACATATTTTTCGAATTAAAAAAAAAACTTCACTTAAAGGAAGGATCATTGCAACCGATCAAACTGATATAGAGTTAGGTACCATCGTAGATTATGTAACTGCCTAAAAGTTGGCTTTTACAACTCAACTTGGTGGATATTCTGGTTAAGATTGCCAAAATAGTGCTCCAATAACAGATGATGCAGAGGAAGAAGACAAAAATATCAATAGT